AGAGTGCAGAAAAAAAAATATATATATATTGGATATAGAGGATGTTGCTCTTGTAGACTGCGTTTGTTCTCCATCAGACTTCAGTCTCACAGCCATGGCTCATGCGCCACACCAGGATCACCGTTTCGCCAATCAGGTGCCAAGGATGAGGGGGTGTCGAGATGTGTCAAAAAAGAAAAGCTGGATTCTTCCAATAATCTAGCGACCAAATGAGCTATTCTGCGTCCAGTAGGTAGTAGCGTCCAGTACCTGCTGTAGTAGAGCCACTAGCTAGTAGCCTACCTCTTCTATAGCGGCCTACTCCCCGCCCCTGCCCTAAAGTATAAAGAAAAAGGGCTCGGCGTGGAAGCCTACTCTAGCACCAGGAGGTCTGGTTCAAGAAGTGCCAATCCCGTCATGCTGAGGCCCATCATGCCATGCACCTTCGTGCCTATCATCCAGGTGCAAGTCATGGGCTAATGCAGCCAGCAGGCTTCCAACCAAAGCCTCAGGAGTGCAAAAATGTGTGGAGCTGCAGAATATCTTTCACATGGTGGCATGTGTCCATTGGGTCACTAAAGCAAAGGGGCAATTCTGTTGAGACAGCAGCGAGAATGACATTCCAATATGAAATCATTGAACAAGAGGGAACTGAAGCTATAACCAAAGACAAGCAGGTTGAAGCCGGACGAAGCCGGAACTCAAGCCAAACACTTGCTCCTTTGAAGCCTTCATTGCCATATTGAGTTCAACGGCATAGGAGTCAACATTATTAGGAGAGATAAATAACAAGACTGGTTGAAACTTCAGAGTACAAAGCAGGTGTTATGTGGCCTGCTTGTTTGTGGCGGATTGAGCGGGGTGAGGCGACCAAGACCAAGACGGTTCGGGGTTCGCTCTTGGGTCGAGGGGAGGCATTTGGGGGGCGGGAGGAACGACAGCTCAAAGAATGGTCATGGGCCCTGAAGGCTGCTTTGCAACCCAGGTTGAGACGACATCTCCAAAGCAATGTCGCCGTGACAAGACAACGTTTGCGAAACAGCGAAACACCACTGATTGCTGAGTGCAAGCTGACCCCCCATACAGTCGAATCGATGCACGCTTCAGTGTGTGACATCACAGGAGCTGTTGCCATGACGAGGCTTCAACATTAGTCTCAATCAGCCACCTTGAGAATCTGGTGGTGAGACTCGGTGAGACTGTGTTCGTTCTAAATGCTCCGAAACGGCCAAAAGCCATGCCGGCTTGCACGATCAACCATGCCTATTCTGGCCGCCAAGCTATTCTCCGCGGCCAAGCCACTATGGCCAGTATAGAGCAACAAAGGACAGCGATATGCAGACTATGCACCAGGAAAGCAGTCACACAAAGGTCCTTCCTTGGGCAGGCTCGGCAAAAATCTCTGTATAGAATGCACGCATAGGCCGCATAGGCGAAAGTTCAAAAATGGAACTGGTGCAACTGGAACTACTGAGAAAACAAGCAATTTCTCAATAGACTGAATCTCATCTCCACCCCAGATTCTCCCCGGCCCACCTTCCCACCTTTCAATTCCTTTTTGTCGGAAACTTTTAGCAACGCTTATTTTCCCCACCAAAGCTTTGGATTTTGGGATGCACGTGATAGAAACCTTGAGCTGGACGTGAGCCTTTTGCCGTTTGCTGAGAAGAGGTCTCTCAGAAGGACCAAATCTGATGGAAACTCCATGTCGCAAGGAGCCCGCGTTGGCAACACCTCGCACGCCAGCACGAGCTCTTGATTTGTCACGCCCTAAGCTTTCACACGGCTGGCCGTGAAGTGATGATGCTTCAGTACAGACATAGCTCACATGTTCTTTCTTTTAAGATTTGTATCGCTTCACAAGGCCTGAGACCTTGCGATCAGTGAAGCCCTGCAATGTGGATCACAGGCCCTCGGGCCATTTCTGCGTACGAGATGTTTTGTGGTTTGATGTTGTCAGAGATGTTGGCTTGATTGGAGAGGAACAGCTTACTGCTTTTGTGTGATGTGTCCAAGTTCCATCCAGCTGCTTTTCCTTTTTGCAGGTTTTTGGCTGGTAGTGGGCTGCAAGTGACAATAGGTGCAGTCGCCAGTTCACCGGGCTGGGACCCTTCCATGATGTTCTCAAGAAGGGATAGTGAGCGAATGCATCCAGCTCGATTGCCAAGTGAAAGATTGCTCCTAAGATGTGCGGTGCAGCGACGACTGTGATGATTGCCAATAGCATGAGGCTTTAAGACTTTAAGAATCCTGTTCGTTTTGTAGACGGTCAAGAAGACGTGGCGTGTTAGAAGATTTTGCTCCTTTATAGCACCTCTTTGGTGCCCACAGTTGGGAGGAAAAGGTATGTGCAGCTGAGCCAAAAAGCAACAACAATGCATATATTCACATATATATATATATAATTTAGAAGTTCACTCTGTGGGCTTTGCAGGGTATAGCTCATTTCTGACGGCCTGGAGGCTTGGATTGGCGCAGGCGGCGCACACAAGAGTTCGATCCCAGCCGAAGGACTCAGGAACCTGAGGCTAGATGCGACCCAGTGCAAAGTGCAAGGTTACACGCAGGTTGCACTTCAATCATGCTTCATCAGCTTGCACCTTTCCAACGGGCAAGCTCAGAATTCAAGCACACCAGCCAACTGAATATGAGCAGACACAAGCTCTCCTATTCCAACAAAAGTTCGATTTGCTATGGCGTTGGCTCAAGTGTTTTCAGGAAGGTCACAACTGATGACAACATACGCTTCTTTTCCTTGCTTACTGTAGTTTAATGCGGGCATTTGTGTCCAGCATCTAGGCCTATTTTACGTCCAAGTGTGGAACCTGAAATGCCAAACTCTGTGATGTTGAAAGTGGTAAAGGTAATAGGTAGTGTGTGTGCCCTGAAGAGACGCTTGGATATGTACTGCAATGCTTGAACATTGTGAGCCATTTGTGAGCAACCTGCTTCTAAATATGACCCTTTCCAGACTGAGCTTCTGATGCAATGTAACTGTAAATTGCAGTATGTTTTATCAGTATGTTCGACTCGTCTGCTATGAAACCTGCAATGAGGTCGAGGTGCTAGAGGTGGACTTGCATACGCCGGGGACTGGGGATCACCCCCGCAGTTTGGACAGTCTCTGCATACAAATCTGCAGCACGACCTAAAGCTCCACATCAATCCAGCCCAAGTAAAACAGGTGTCGCAGTTGGTGTTGAAACATGTTTTTAAAGCTGACAATAATGGGGCAGTAGATCACCCATCCAGCACATCTTTCAGTGAGGCAAACACCGCTGATATGAGGCAGGCCAACATTTCACCGGACTTCCAGCTTCCTGTCAACAAGCAGACACTTGTGGACATTTTTCAAATCTCACCCTGACCTCCAGACCAGCTGGGCTGTCCGTGAAGCAGCAGGGAGAGATTTGTTTGCGCGGGTGGCACGCAGCAGCCTTGGTTTGGAATGCTGAGGACAAGAGTATGCTTTGTATACGAACAGCAGGGATTACAATAACCGGGAACGACGCCACTCAAGAGTACAACCTGCAAGACGATGCAGTCTTGCATCGCACTGCCCAGGCCTACAAACAAACAATTCGACAGCTGGACCGTAATGCAGACCAGCCTGAAGCTCAGACCGACTTGCTTGGAGTTGGTATGTTCAGCTGCACTAAGCAGTGTCACTGCCAGGGATCATTGGGGGACAAGGAGACGTGGGAAAACATCTATATATTCTTTAGTTCGGGCTTCAAGGTTTTGCGATAGGCTAGCAGCTATACTTGCATTGTTAGTCAGCAACCTTGTGCGAAAAAAAGACACAATCACGTGCCAAACTGCCAAACTTAACGACAGCTTGGAAGTTGAGGCTGACTTCCTCATGTCCGGACATGCGTGCTTTTCTTGCTTCGTGATGGATGGTGGTTTTTCTCCGCTTCCTCCAAGAGGACTGCAACGCTTGCGAAGCTGCAAGTGTTGGCGAATTTGCTGCCATGAAAGTCTGCGAAGCATTTGTGCAAGGAAGGATTGAAGATTGTTGGAATTCTGCAGATTTTGACCTTGAAGTGTCCGGGTGCTACTGTACGACAACTGTACATATGTATATGCAGCCATTTATGGCCAGGGTTGATCAGTTGGAAGCACTTTTGATCAGGTGGAAAGAAAATTGATCCAAGCAGTTTCCGATATATCACTGCCTTTGTGATCAGATCAGCAGCAACAAATAAAGCCTTCCCGAATTGTACTGTGGTATGCCGTAGTTTAGGTTCCCTGACAAATGCAAACAGTCAGACCCATTGTCAACAAATGCTTGCAATATTATGTGAGATACTTGCTGTCGCAAGCGTGCACAATGCGTGTCGGTTCTCGATGCATTCTTATCAGCAGTGACTATGGCACTGTGCAATGAAGCTACCCTAATTCTGGGATGAAGTTGATGAAACTATGACCAGCCAAGCGAAGCAGGCCTGAAGCCTCTGACAGTCTCAAAGGAACCGCATCTCTTTCAGCCCGACCCAGTGAAAGGCGAGCACAGCACAGCTATCATCGCCTCCATTCTACAAGGCGACTGAAGAGTGGAACGTGGAGCCCAGGGTTTCTGAAGAGATTGAATATTTCTTGTTGGATTCAAACGCATAAAGATATTTGATTCTATTCGTTTTTTTGTGTGTCAGGCATCAAGAGACAGCCAGGGAAATCGTGCATCCCCTGAGCCAGCCTTGCCAAGCTTGGTGACCGAGGCAAGGAGTTGAAGTTCACACTGTGATTCTGAGTGACAAAACTTTCTTAAAAGCAATTATAATCAACTCAAAAGTGACTCTTCAACTCTTCAACTCTTCATTTCTGAATCTTCCTTTGTCTTTTCTCAACATGTCGCAGCCCCCCTGGCATGCTTTTTTGAATGCTCTCGTTGACTCGAGCGCGAGGGCGGCCTTTAGGCTCAATCCGCTTTTGCTCTGTGAATAAACAATGGCAAACTTCTGTGCTTAGAAACAAAAGATGCCGGATCCTGCACTTTTTCCAACCTTAGGGATGCCACAATGCTTGTGAAGATGCCCCGAAGTCTTTGCTATTGTTATTATTCAATTGGCTTGTCAACTGGCACACTGCGTCAGCGAAGCGTGACTGGAATGGGATCATCGCAGAGTGCCGATGGAGGCCACTCTGTTGCTGTCTGTACAGTTGCCACAGCTTCACGTGAAACTAACTCACGAGTTCTGGGAGGACATGTCGCTTTGCCAGTAGTAGAATCAAGTTTTGCTTTGGGGGGATGTCAAGGAAACTATCCTTTTATGTCATAAGGAAAGGTTGTGCCGAAGAAGGCCTTTCAAAAGAGGACGCGTTCTCAAGGTATCAATTAAGCCCTCTTGCTGCTTTGTTTGACCTTAGTGATGGGGCGTGGACTTCCACGATTCCTGCAAGTTTGCCCTCCTTTTTTCTCTTGGAGTGTTGAAGAATAGCTGGATGTGCTAGAAGAAACCATTTTTCAATTCTGCGACCTGATTGTGGTACCAGGAAACGTCAAAGAGCTCAAGGTAGTTGTGGTTGGCATGCCTAATGCTGGTGCCAAGTCCTTGGTAGCTCGATGGACTACGGATGCATGGCTGGAGAAGCCAGAAAAAAACGATCCAGGCGGGGCTAGCTGACCTGGTTGACCTTGGTCAACTGAACTTAACCAGCATTTCCATGCTGAGCTGCTCGCTGAAGTGGGCGACATCGAATGGCTACCTTGTCACAGGGAAACAAGCCTCGAGTAGTGGTGAAGACCAATTTGATTCACTACTAGCGATGCTCCAACCTAATAGCCAAAGGAACCTAATAGCGATGGCGTCGAACTTATTACTCTTCAGCAGACATACATAGCCCCCCCCATTCTTTTTTTTCAGGTGGTCGTGTTAACCATACATGTTTTTACAGGCGCAGGTTCCATGTAAGCAGAAAAAAAGGAGCCCCCGGAGGGCTAACATAGCATGCAAACCCGTTTCACTTAGTGCCTATGCAGGAATTCCATGTTAGTGGAATGTGTGTTTGGTAGGTTCCATGTTAATGTATATAGATTCAGAGCCCGGGAGGGCGGGCATCCTAAATTTTCATAAACCCTCACACAGACCCTACGCCTCCTAATAGTTTGTGATGTGTTGTGATGTGTATTGCACGCTCCAAGCTCCCTCGCTCCAAACTCCTGGTCCTCCACCTCAAAACCCGCGATTTCCACCTCCAAGCACTTGTGGTCAAAAGTTGGCAACGCTAGTATTTACACTGGGTGAACCAAAAATCATTTACTAAACTGCCCCCAGAAAAGACGTTTTTGGCCTCGGAAAGGGATGTCCCCACACATGGCTTCCATCCTTCAAGATAAGCTACAATGAGGTAGAGTACCAAGAGTACTCCCCAGAAATGTCACCCCGTGTTCTATGTTAACGGCTGTGTGTGATTCTGTCGGTACGGTAGTGATACAGTATTGGCTGCCCTTCTTACAGTACAGCACTTGTCGTCCAACGTTGGCTACCTGGTATTCACACTGGGTGAACCAAAACAACAGCCAAACCAACACTTGAACATTTTGTATGAAATCTTTTACTAAACTGCCACCAGAAATGACTTTTTTGGCCTCGGAAAGGGTCCCCCACAAATGGCTTCTATCCTTCAAGATAAGCTACAATGAGGTAGAGTACTCCCCAGAAATGTCACCCCGTGTTCTATGTTAACGGCTGTGTGTGATTCTGTCAGTATTGTAATGGTACAGTACTGGTCCGCCCTTCTTGCAGTACAGCACTTGTGCTCCAAAGTTGGCTACCTAGTGTTTACACTGGGTGAACCAAAACAGCCAAACTAACACTTGTGTATAAAATCGTTTACTAAACTGCCACCAGAAACGACTTTTTTGGCCTCGGAAAGGGGTTCCGCACAAATGGCTTCCATCCTTCAAGATAAGCAACAATGAGGTAGAGTACTAAGAGTACTCCCCAGAAATGTCACCCCGTGTTCTATGTTAACGGCTGTGTGCGATTCTGTCGATACGGTAATGGTACAGTACTGGTCCGCCCTTCTTGCGGTACAGCACTTGTGGTCCAAAGTTGGCTACCTAGTGTTTACACTGGGTGAACCAAAACAGCCAAACCAACACTTGAACATTTTGTATAAACTCATTTACTAAACTGCCACCAGAAATGATTTTTTGGCCTCGGAAAGGGGTCTCCCCACAAATGGCTTCCATCCTTCAAGATAAGCTACAATGAGGTAGAGTACTTCCCAGAAATGTCACCCCGTGTTCTATGTTAACGGCTGTGTGTGATTCTCTCGGTACGGTAATGATACAGTATTGGCTGCCCTTCTTACAGTGCAGCACTTGTTGTCCAAAGTTGGCTACCTAGTACTCACACTGGTCGAACCAAAGCAGCCAAACCAACACTTGAACATTTTGTATAAACTCATTTACTAAACTGCCACCAGACATGATTTTTTGGCCTCGGAAAGGGGTTCCGCACAAATGGCTTCCATCCTTCAAGATAAGCAACAATGAGGTAGAGTACTAAGAGTACTCCCCAGTATGCCACCTCCGTCCAAACTCACGGCTCCAAGAAGTGTCCAATGGTCACATGGAAGGAGTACCTCATGAGGGGTCTTCAGGACGGGAACCGAGCCGAGTTTCCCAACATCTACTACTCCAAGGATGCCGACTTTGCTGAGATACTTGATCACATGGTGAAGCATTTGGGCAATTTGCGCATGGAGCATGACAAGCTTCAGAAGCGTCTTGCCAATGTGAATGTGAGAACTGCCACCCGACAGGCGCAGTTCAAAAGAAAAGAAAAGCGGGTCCAAAAAAAGTTTGACTTTGTCGTGGAGGGCTTGGACGAGGAAACCAAGGAGAAGCAAAAGAAGAGACGTCGCCAGCTCTACCACTTGAAGAAGGCAGTGCGACCCAAGAAGGCTGCGAAACGCAATGTCAAGAGAAAGCTTGTGGATGCCTCCCATGACATGGCACCTCCAGCCAAAGCACGTCGCCTGATATTCATCGAGGACAAGCTCAAAGTGATCAAGTTCGTCCGGGAACTCAAAGCTAAGCAAGAGGAGGCAAAGAGGGTCCTGAAGCAGTCCATGACAAGTTGCACAACTGTGGCTGAACGGGAAGAACTTCGCACCAAGAAGCAAAAGGCAAAAATCACAGCAAAATTGAATGTCCAGGCTGCGTGTGAGGAACAGTTCAAAGACATCGTGGGCAAAGCAGTGGTCTACAAATGGCTCCAAGCATGTGAGAGGGAGTCTTGGGAGGAACTACCAGAAGCTTTCAGGGTCAGCCAAGTCAGCACCCCCAATGGAGGCAGAAGGTAGGAGCCAAGCTCAAAGGACGTGGTAGTGCTGGCTGCATCCCTCTTGAACTCCAAGAGCAGTTGGATTGTTTGATGATGGAGTACGCCCAAGGCTTCAGCGAGGTCACTGAGAGGAAGGAGATCATAACCACGGATCACATCGTACCCGGGCTCAACTTGTCCTGCTTGGATTGATCAACGGGGATGTTAACCTAAATGGATTGCTGTGTTGAAATTCAACATGGAACAATGCATACTACTAACATGGCAGTGTTGCAGGGGTTGTGGCTATGATTGTTTTAACCTTTGCTGAAAGGTGAGCGCAATGGCCGGCCTAGTCAAAGACTGGAATGCTGCGCTCAAGTTTGGACAGGACGCTGTTGAAGAACAAAACAAGAAGCTTTTGGAGTTGGTGAAGAACGGCGAAATGACAATGGAGGCTGCTCTTGCTGGTTGGAGCCAGCTTCCACATCCAGTGAAACCTCCGTCGGCATCCTGGGCACGGTCTTTCCAACAAAAGTGGGGCTGGAGTTTGCTGAGCAAGGGATCTCAGGGTGGTGGGTGGCTACCGTACAACCACCCGGACATGGTCCATGCACGGCAGGCAACACAGGCGCTGTTTGAATCTCGCGGCGTGCATGAAGCCTTGCTCCTGAACTTTGACCAAATGTGGCGGACATGCTTCTCGTTTGATGGCAAATTGCGGTTCAAACCGCGTGCTTTCGCAGGCCAAAAGGTCCCCAAGCAGAAGACTGGCCAGCATGAAAGCAAGAAGCTCCACCATGTGAGCGGTTGCAGGAAATCGCTCACGGCACCTTGTTTGCTGTGAGTCCAACGGATTTTTTGCTTGTTGGGGGGCAGTCGTTTGGCAAAGGATGAACACTCATGTTGTGTGATCTTTACAGCCGGCCACGTTAGTGTCATTGTATTACACTCTGACTGACTAACATGGAAATGTTAGTGAGCCAGAGTGTATGAAATATTGTACCTTGGGATGTCTGGGAAGCGTGACATTCTTTTTGACCCAATGATGAGGCACTCACCAGCTCGTGGTCTGATGGCTCAGCGGGCCCACTTGCGTACTGTGCCCCAGAAGGAGCCATGGACGCGGAGGCTATCAGGGAGTGGAACAACGCACATGTTGGTACATCTCTGATCGTGACATCTGGCAGCAAAACGCACTTCATGACAGCAGACACACTACTACAGGTCTATGAGCAGCTCCTTAGTCCGGCCCTTGCCCGTCAACGAGCGAAGCACCTTGTCTGAAACAGGCACAGGAGATATGTACTACTCACCAACATCGACGTGGAAAGGAACGTGGTAGAGGAACACATGTTAGCGTGAGTTGCATTGTTTTAGCGTGCACTACCTTACTAGAAAAAGATATTGCACTGAGGGTATCAGCATTCCTCGCAATTAACCTGGGCTAGGAGGCGTGCTATATCCAAGAAATTGCATCCCTAGCTCGATGCACACCCGATTGTGTCAGGTATGGCATGGACACCAACCATCCAAAGGCCACTGCAGCATTTGTTTGCGATGCATGGACTGGAACCTTTGCCAAAAGTAGAGGAGAGGAGCCCAGGAGGACCAACTGGATGATGAGTTCAAGAGTTTAACCTAGAAGTCCGTCATTTGCCAGTCACTTCTATGTTTCTACAGTACGCCGTACATCAATTGTGTTGTTCCTTCGCTTCAGTCAACTTCCACGTTTGGCCACCCCAAAGTCTATGTCCATGGTAGTGAGTGTTTGTGGGTGGCGGGGAAGTGCTTGTATCATTTCTCTTCAGACTTGCTTTAGCCTTAATTTAGTGCAGGAGAGAGTTCTACCAGAGCCACCGCATATTGGAGCCCATGAAAATGGCAGGTGGTTGGTCTTGTCATGGCCAACCCATTGATCAAATTCATGGTGTGTTTCGCAAACTGATCCGGGCCCGCGATATCGTTTCCACGGGCATGTTCTCCGACCTACGCTCAAGACCAACGTACCATGAAGTTGATTTGAAAGCCTCTGGGCAGTTGAACTACAAAGTCAAGCCATGGGCTGACGTCATCAAATTGACATGGGATGCTTGGTGTGCTATGGAACCACGTGTGTTTGAAGCAGCTTGGCTGACTACGGGCCTTGTCCCCAACGACCACTTCAGCAGGCTCAACCCAGCAAATGGTCCAAGCGAATCAAGTGGGCACGTGAACCTCTCTCTGGAGGAAGCGAAGGACGTGCTGTCGGACATCTTCATAGAGATGGGTTACGGTCACACGCCCCAACGGTGTACTCAGTTCGAGTGGCAGCTGGAGGACTGGCCATTTGTTTCAATACCTTTGCTAACATAGCATGCACAGTCTGCGTGAGATCTATATATGTTCACTGTGTGGCCATAATGATTTCACATGATTTTACTCTAGAGCCTTGATGTTCTTTGGTGTCTTTGCGAGATGTGAACGTGGAATCCAAGCCTTGCACCAATGCCAGGTTCAAGCAGATGTGTGGATTCCACTGCCGTATGAGATTGCCTCAGCATATGTGAGAACTCTGATGCTTCACGCGCGCAAGCTGAGCACGAGCAAGGTCCTTCTCAACGAGGCCCTCGAGAAAGACCCAAATGCCAAGAAAAAGGGCACGCAGAAGCTTCGAGGGGATGTGGAATCTCTGATGGTGGCGGTGCGCCATTTTGTTCTGTGCAAGAAGACAGGGCAGTTGGCAACACAGGAATGGCTCTCCAAGCACATTCAAGTGAGTCCAGAAGGGGTGCCTTCAGTGAAGAATCCCAAGTGCAAGGCGCAAATCATGTCACTGGGGTTCACACTAGCAGGAACTGATGTCTCGCTCAGCCTGAAGTTGGGAGCTGACATGGCTGAGATGAGGGTGCGCTGCTTTCATTACGAGACTGGGAAGCCCAACCACAAGTTGTCGGTGTTCTTGGATGGCTACGAGCACATGGTTGAGAACTTCGACGATGTGGATGAGGATGACGAAGAGTCACAGGAGAGCAGCGACTCTGAGATCTATGACCAGCACGGTTTGGAAGGCTGAGGGGCACTGCGTTTTTCTTATTGTACACTTTGACTCACTAACATGGAAGTGGAAAGCCCCCTGTTACAGGATAGCAGTCTTCCAGGGTCCCATTTTCCACTTCCATGTTAGTGAGTCAGAGTGTAGGTCTAGGTACCGGAAGGAGGGAATTGACATGGCAGCTGTCTCCACACAAATTCAACCGCAAAGCAAAACACACATGCGGCACGCGCCCATAAACATGTGCATGTGACAGGTCAAGCAGCTTTGCAAGCATCAGCTCAACAGTCTGACCCAGCACCAGCTCCAGCTGCTGGTTCTGACAAAATTGTCCAAACTTTGCCGCAGGGCGTGCCAGGCAAGATTTTAACATGATTCCAGTGCACGTAACATGGCAGCTGGCATTGTTGCAGTGCTATGTTGAGGTGCTTGCCCAACCAATTTTCAGCTTTCCTCCTTTTATCGCAGGAGTGATCAGTGGAATGGATGATCCTGATCCTGAAGATGAAGAAGTTGACAAGATCCACGAGGATATGTTTGTCACTTCACTACACTCCGGGAGCAAAGGCGCCCCAGGTACAAGCAAGAGTTCGGCCGGACACGTCTACCAACCTCCTTGCTTTCAGGAAAGGGAGGCCTACCAAAGCCTTCTCCAAGAGGGCTTGATCCGCATGCCTGACGTGAGTGGATTCCAGATCAGCCATCACTCGCAAACCAGACAATGGCACGCCCGGCGTGCAGAGACCGAGTCCAACAAGGCAAAGAACTTTGCACCATCATGGGGGGAGAAGCGGTCAGAGACTATGGCCTTGTTATTGGTCGTGCGCAAGATTTGGGAATGGTGCCCCGGTTTTGGTCACGCTGTCATTTTCCAGACTTTGGGGTTGCCAAACGTGGAAGTGAACTGAAACGAAGGAACAACACAATTGGTGTAGCTATTGTAGTTGCACATTGCCACTGTTTGTTTTGTTCCAGATGTGAAACATAGAAGTGATTGGCAAATGACAGACTAGGAGAAAAAACACAGCAAAGAGGTACATGGAAGAACACCCTCTGAATTCTGAGGCCGAGGGGTTTCTGGCTCGACTTGACGATAAAATCGCCAACATTGGGTCAGGTAATTAAAATACCAGTTGGAGCAACGTTCATGGTTACTCCAGCTGAACCTGCAAGCCTAGGAGGCCTTAACGTAGATGCAGTTGCTTGGCTGTGAGCCAGGTTCATATACAATGGTAAGTAATTGTCTGAGTCTAAACATCTCTGTGTGTGGAAAGTGCCTTGTCAGTGGAAAGCCGAGCGGCACAGCTACCTTGTGGGGGTTGGTCTGTGCGTAGGTTGCAGCTACAGCGAGAAGGCCACTCAATACTGTACCAAATGAATGGAAGAGGCAAAAGAAAAACTGTGTGTGCGTGCGCGCAGGGAAAATTAGAATGGCGACAACCCCCCAATCGCCTCATTTTGGTCAATTCCACGTTCAATAAAAAGCAACTTGAGGCAATCCATGTTTAAAACACAAGATGAGCTACTCCAGTGCCATGTTTAGAGCAAACCTTGCTGGCAGTTCTACGTTAAAACCGCTGCCAGCACTCCTGCATATCCATGATAGCGAGTCAGAGTGTAAAATCTTTTATTAAACTGCCACCAGAAGTGACATTTTTTGGCCTCGGAAAGGGGTCCCCACACAAATGGCTTCCATCCGTCAAGATACAGTACAGTAAGCTGCACTGAGGTAGAGAAATGTCACAGGTATAATACCTGTTCTCCTCCTTTTTGAAGGGAGGGAGGATGTGTGGACCAAAGGAAGCAAGCCTAACATAGAACTTGCTTGGACAGAGGGACCTGAGACTAACATAGAATTCTCCATCTTGGAGGAGACGTTTTGGCTTTCTGTTCTAGGTTAGGCTACTTGGGAGCTTGGCCGTGTTCCGTGTTAATGTACCTTTTTTTTTGGGATTTTGAGCTATGTTTGTTTGCTAAAGTGTAGCGATGGCCTCCAACCGAATAGCAAAAGGAACCCCATAGCGTTGGCCTCCAACCTAATAGCGATGGCCTCCAACCTAATAGCAACGGCCTCCAACTTAATATCGATGGCCTCCAACCCAATAGCAAAAGGAACCTAATAGTGATGGCCTCCAACCTAATAGCGATGGCCTCCAACCTAGAATCATACACGTTGAAGTGTTTTGAATGTAGTCAAGTCCTTGTCGTTGTGGATGGCAGGCTGGCAGCCTCTCATGAGGCCCTTTGACAAGACCCAGCTCCACTTGCTGGCAGTGGGCTCCACGGTCGGTCTTTGGCAAGAGCAACTTGGAAAACAGTCTTTCATTAAGGTTCTGCTTGAAAGGATAAGTGAGCTGCAGATGAACCATTCAAGGCATATTTCTACTGCTGACGTCCTGGTCTTTGTGGTTGATGGCAGCGATGAATTTGATGAGGTGCTTACCTCCCAGAGTTCTCAATGAGTTCTCAATGTCATTGGTTCGTTTCGTCTTCGACAGAAGCACTTGATCTCTACTTGACGCACTTTTTGAGCACAAGGGTTGTTTTAGTCCTTTTTCTGGGCGCTAGTCAGTCGAACCGAAAATCGTGGCTAAGCGGAATCCCCTTGCGGGTTGGGCAAATCCGCTGCAAATCAGGCCGCATTCAGCGAGTCCTTCAACAAGGCTGCTTTTGCTCTCAAAGAAGAAGCACCTGTGGTGATCTTGGTGAACAAGGTGTATGAAGCAGGGATCGGTGGCATTGTTTCGGTTTTTGTGCTTCTTTGCCCTGCTGACCTCCATGACAGCAGAGCCAACAGTTTGTGCGTTCCCCTTCTAAGCCGCCGGCAAGTTCGAAGCATTGATCATGAGTCTCATGAGTGTTGTCTTCACAGTATACAGGGATCTGTTCCAGAGTCAGAATATCTGCAGTACTTGGTCCTTTGAAAGCTGCAAGAATGCTCCATACAGAAGAATTAGACGGTAGACTAGCCACTATCACCACTCAGTGGGCACACTGGGTAGGTAGATGCAGATCCAGATGATGACAGCAAAGAAGCTGCAATGCGTGTGGCAGACAGCCCTGGTTCAGCCGTCCAAGCCACTGGACCCAAAGCTTTGACAGGCAAGATCGTGATGAGCGCACATTGGACACGGGGTTGGGTTTCACACAGGTCTACGCGAAACTGACTCGAACATAATACAATTAATAGTGGGGTGATACAGCCAGTGCCACCCAATTCGTCTCATAGCTGCAACAAATCAGCTTTGACATGTAAAGCTTGGATACGATTTGAGAGTTTCAACTGCAACAATGCAACAAGTACATTTGTCTGAGGTGGTACATTGTTGACAGCATTTTGCTGCATCCACATTCTCTCAGGTCAGTGGGTGCTGCAGAGAGAAGGATACATTCACAGAATATTCACAGAGTATTCAAATCTATATACCCCGTAGAAAATGCTGTCAAGGCAATCTACGCAGTAATCCCAGTCTAGCAGATGTACATCCAGACAAGTGGATTAAACAAGTCTTGGTCATCCTCCTTGTAAGGCGACCACAAATCAGCAGTGGTTCGATTATAACGTTCTTTCTACGCCATGCTCCAGCCTAAAGGTTCCGCTTCAATGGGATCATAGATCACACAACCTGCACTATTTACACTCCTCAACATCTATTTGATCCAATTTTTTACATGGCGCTCATGGCCCAAGCAATGGGCCGCATTCGTGCCCGGATATGTCACTCCAAACTTGGAACAGGAAGGATCAAACTGGACTGCTTTCATGTATGCAATGCACGGATGTCATCAGGTTGTCCTTCATTTCTTTGGACGAGTCGGCCTCCTTGATCATGTCATCATTCGTCATTTTACACTTTGCCACTTTCGGGAGTTTACAAATTGTGGAGCCCACTGCTTCAAAGAGTGAATGCCTTCAGGCATGCGAATCTCTGTTCCAGCATGAAAAGAGTAGCCGACCTGATGTGGGAGCACCGGTGCTTGACCCATTTTCTTCGGATGTGGAGTCATACTCTGAGTCAAAGCAATCGCCCCAAACTGGTCCAACTCTTCTTTCGCAGACAGCACCGGAGTGGTCAATCTGTGCATTGAGCTGTCATTCATCGATCCTTGTGTCCATTGGGCCAAAATAGAAGCAGTTGCTTCGTGCAGCAGCTGCTCCAACTCGCCACTCTCATTCAAGGCTCGAACTCGAACCAACTGTTTTAGCTCCTCCTTAGAGAAATTTTGGTACATGGCTGACATGTCACTTGGAGCTGAGGAAGTGATCGAAAGCTCTGGTCGAATCGGAGAACAGTGCCCTCCTCGCACTTGAATGCTAAAATTCAATTGCGTGTATTGAATCATATAATGCCATCACTGCGAACGACAGTCACCCAAAACACATCATGTTACGAAAGCTCACATTTCCATAATGCTTCAACCCCGCACATTCGCACCAAGGAATGTATCGTGGACGCTTTCCGCGGCTGACGCAAACCCCAAACTAAATAGAAGAGGAGAACGAATCGAATGAGCATACACCGAGAAAAGAATTTCACTGAATAACTGAGTGGACATGCATCACACAAAAGCAGGAATACCCCAACAGCTAGAAACATGTTGTGTGTTCTTAAACTTGATGCCACAAACCATCAAGCTTCATGCTGATGCACAGCCTACCTCTGATGGCAGGCTCACGTCCAAGGATTTCCAAGAAGCCCACCAACATCACCGCACTCATTTCTGCAATGCTGCGGAACGTTGTCACAAAAGTGCTGCTATGGTTTGAGTGGAGGGAACGCCATGTTTCATGATGTTTCATTTCTAAATGTGCAAAAGCTTTTGCAGGTTGACTGCGCGTTGAGTGTTTCATGCGATCATCACTCTGTGCTCCGGAACCTCCTCCGGAATATCCTCCAGAACCTGCTCCGAAGCTGACCGAGAATGCGCCAAAGAAGAAAGCGCAGAAAATCGCGCAGAGGGGCTCCCCATCGAATTGCAGCCTGGGCAGCAAAGCAAGCCTACATTGGGCCCAAGCATATGCTCCAGGTGCCGAAGAGCGCAATGATGGCCGCATGACCAAGATATCGCATCTCCTGTCCAATCACCTTCGTGGTGTACGAGAGCAACGGCGTCAACCAACGCCAAAGTTCACTGAGGACGGGAAAAAAAAGAAGCTGGGATTTGCATGCGCCATCTCAAGGACGACGTGGGAACTAGGAGGAATTCAAGGTGTTGCTCTGCAATCGCAACAATGATGATCGCCGACTCAGGCTGCGAGTTTGTCTAGGAGGACTCGATTGTGCTACCTGGAAAGGTATGCCCTGGAAGCGAGTGCTGGTCGTGCGCGCAAGGTCACAAGGACTGGGTCATCGACCGACTTGGGAATCGCGCCATTTGTCTGGAAATCTTTTTGCGTGACGATGATTTTACAGTCGAGCGGCTCGATCGTAGAGATTACCCACGTTTCCACGAATGTTCCACGGGTGATCTACCATTCGACAGATCCGCAAGGCCTCAACATCATCAAGAACGGTCCGATTGTTGGAGGGTTTCACGCAACTATTTCACGGTCACACCTCCATGGATCTGCAATGTGAAGCTCGTGGGAACGCGAGCCGGGCAACCGTTGTACATTGCCTTGGACGTCGAGCTGATGATTCAGGAAAGAATCCAGACTGGGTACCGAACAGGCGCATTTTGTCCGCGTATAATGCCAGAAGAGCTCGTTTGTCTGGACTATCGCGCTCGTAATGCAGTATGAGCTTTCCCGCCTTGGCCAGACGCACAATTTCCTTTGTGTGGAGAATTGGGAGGAGATGAACAGATCAGAAAGTTTCGGTCGACGGCTAGGTATTCGGCCTTGAGTCGGGCATTCACAGTGACAAGACAAAAAGGTGGTGAGGCTTCAAAAATGCGCGAGGGCAGAAAAGGGAGTGGAGGAGTGGAGCAGAGGAGCTAGTGGACGCAGAAGAAGAGATGGGCTACCACTTGTGATCTTGCCATTCATGGTTTCTAGCTCAATGTGCTTTACATGTTGTATAGGAGGCTGGATCACGATCCTAGACGACCTGCGTTCCAAGATGTGAGTTGAAATCTAGGATCCTAGTGCTGAGGCGCCAGGATGCTGAATGCGCCAGGGGTTTCACGGAAGGTGACACTGGACACGAAGGCCGTTCAGGGACGCCCTTACCTCGATACCAAGTCAGCCAGCAATATGTGCTCCGTGACAAGCGTGTTGAAGACCTCGGGTTGCAGAAACCAGACCAACGCATGAGGGACCTATTCCACGCGCTTGCAAAGCGCAACAAAGAGTACAGCAGAGCTGACAAAACTAATTCGCTCCAGGGCAAAAAAACTTGTTCAACAGACAGTTCTGTCAAGAACGACGAGACTTCCCGTGCAAAGTGCCGAGCAACTCCGACAAGCTCCAGCTTTATGGCACCGACAGACAACGATGCGCGCTGCAAAGCAACTGGCTGCGACATAGATGAGTCAGATTCTTTTGATCCTCAACGGCGCTTCCCAAAGAGATGAGATGAGGCAGATTGGCCAATCTCAGCCGACATAGCATGAGGTCAATAAGTTTAGCAAGAAGGTGTGGCTGTACCTTCCACGAGATGAAGCATATGTCCACACACACAGGAAATGAAGATTAGAAGTTTGGTGTCGTGCTTCTTTGACTGTTGTTCATCTCTATCGGAGATTGCTGGCCTCTGGAGAAGCCGCAGGATACCTACAGACATGGCGCAATTTTCTAGAAAGTTTCATGCTGTGCAGGGAGGGTATATATGAAGGTGATGGCCGATGGATGACATGTTTCGGAAAATGACTTTGATAAGTCCCGACTGATTCAGTGAGATGCAATACACACACAGTGTATTTGAGACAAACACACCAGGTTGGTTGGTTGGGCGCCGGTTTCAAACTTTAGGCTTACGTTGGCTTACATTCTCCCAAACAAAAGTAGAACATGAGCATGATTTCTTCTGTGGTAGCGTGATTTATTGGGGGTTTACGATATACAGCTGACAGCCTCCGAGGCAAAATGCAGTGCGGCAGTTGCTTCGTGTGCAGTTTCGCAGTCTGTCCGCCAATGCAAGGCAGGGCGACCAATGAAAAAGGGAGTTATATAGGACTCCTGAAGCCACGTGGTGAAGAACGGATGGGATATGAGTCACTCAGCGTAGCTGAAGCCCCTGCCCCAGTTCTTCGCCACTTTCAGAGCACTCGAGGCTTTATTGAGCAGTGCCAAAAGCGGATTCGGATGTGAGGAGGCGATCAGGGCCATTTGACGCTTGGACTATATGGAATTTGAATGTGGTGTTGCTGTGCGGTGAGAAGGCTTTGCAGAATAGTCACTCAGGTTGCCTGTCCAAAGCAACTGCAAAGTGACCCTCCGGTACCCCATCATTTCAACATAAAATCGAAGGCCTTTGGGGCGACGCTCAGATAAGCTTCTTTTGAATCCTGATGAAATCAGTTTTGCAAGGGGGTCCGTATCGAGGATAATGTCAACTGACCCCATAAAGCAAGACGGGAGCACGCCTAAAGCCAAAAAGAAACACCGGGCAGCAAACAAAAACAAAAACAAAGGAGTTGTCCTTAGCAGGCATTGTTTGCGGTGGATGAAGACGTATGAAACACAGATGAACCCGTCTTTATGCCCTGAGTATCATGGTTCTGACTCAACTCCTTGTCATCTTCAAGGCCATTGTTCCTTGAACCCATTGAATGTGCAGGATTGTAACTACCCCATGAAATCAAAAGACTTCATTAGAAGGCTTCAAGGAAAGTCACAAGGTCTTGAGGCGATCAACTGGATTATGAAACCAGACTTGGGCATTTAGGCCTTGGGCATGCAGGCATGAACGAATGTTACTGCTCTTGAGGCTCTTTTTGAGACAGGAAAAAAGCTTGTTGGTGTGCACTCCGCTCCAAAATGAAACCACTGTTTCAGCGACGCGTAAGCGCTGAACGTTGCATCCAAAAGCACGTATGGGTACGTTGGCTACATGGGACATATAGTTTGTGAGATGATGACCACGCCTCAAAAATTGTGATGATGTGGTGAGAAGGTGATAATCTTTTGAAGACAATTACGGAGGTATGAGACTTTACCACTGCCTCTCGCTCAACCTTCTTACAGCTCAACTCTCAAAACACTCCAGACTGTGCAAATGCAATGAACAATTGACCCAATTCAGCCTTGAATCCAGAATGAATCTTAGTACCCTTCTACATGAGTTTAGTTGCATTCATGCTTTTTGCCTCTGAGCCTTTTCTCCACCAGTGTTTCTTTCCTACTGTTCGCTTGAAACGTCATCCCGCCAAGAAGTCTTGTGAACAATACTGTTTGTTTGAGGCGGAGTGAGGCTAGTATTCTGAAGCCAAGTTAAGCTGTACAGTGTGAAGTCAAGCTAAAACATGCTTGCATTCCATGCAAAGTCAAATCAAAGATGCCATAGCATCAGTGTCGTCGGAGTGGCTTGCAAAAGGATCATGTCTTTGGGAGGGGCCCAGTTGATACGGTGCAATTTCACAATACAGAGCTCGCCAGTTACACACTGCCCGGACACCCTCTACGGCATTTCGCTTGAATCGAGGCGGGATCTTTTTTGAGTTTCACCAAGGCCCGAGGAGGAAAGCAAGTCCAAAATTGCTCATTTCTTCGTACTCAAGTGAGCAAACCCACATGCCATGTTTCGTACTTATATAGGTTTCGACAAGATCGGCTCGACTCGGTACCTTTGACACTTCCTTGTCTTCACTTGTTCGGTTCACTGGGCCACAAGAGTACCTTTGTGGCTATAATCTCATGGGCACCCAGCGTGGCCATTGCCCGTTTTAGACTCCAAGTGGCAACTTTGGACATGATATGAAGAAACAACCTTTCTGAGTAGCACTGACCGTAGCTACAACAGGGTATTCATATGGTATTGCTGTGTCCATTTGTGCAATGAAGACTGTCCACAGCCCACAGCAGTCCTATTTACTTGCTCTAGGTCTGCCTGACTTCCAGTGGTCCGGGGCATCTTTCGACCAGATCTCAGGAAAGGTCAACAGATCGACCAGATCTCATCTATTTTGTGTTTGTCCACAGATCTCAGCGACTGAGGACACAGATCGCGAGACTTGCCATGCTGCTTTTGTGAAGGCCAGAAGAACGAAGAACAGGTTCTGTGTTTCATGTTACAGGGTCGCATAGTTCACATCTTCGTTTGAGGTCCTTCAAGGCATTTCTTCCTTTCGAGAGAAGGTGCAGGTGCAGATAATGCCGCGAAATGGACCTTCGCAAGTTTCAAAGTCCTGACGAATTTGTTAGGATTTGTCATTGTCCAAACATTCATTCTAGAATGCAGTTTTCCTATATGGACAAATGCCGGCTGCATCATGCTTTTGGGCATAAGGGCCTGCGAGGAATGACCAGTGGCTGTCTCCGGTCTCCCGGTTTGTTTGCGGATTGATGCGTGAAGGCTGCTGCAGAAGGTCGATCGCAGGATCCTCTTGCAACAGTCCTAGAAATGCCCGGGCGAGCAGGATCAAAAGCATTTGATGTACGTTACGACGTATCCTTTGAACACCATGCAGCTTCGTGTTTGGAGTTTTGGCATACTAGTTTTGTTTTCGGTTCAAGTTTCCAGCTTGCCATGCCAGTGCTGCCTTTGCGGCGGCTGCCGCTGGCACGGGCTCGGAATCCATTGGAATCACGGATGCACGATCTAGATTGTTGTTTGGCACTGTACTGGCAGGAGATAGGAGCCTGCGAGACAACATCTTTTCGGGTCTTCACTGTCAATGCTTTTCTATTTTTTTGAATCCTTTGTGGCTTTGTCTGTCAGCTTGGGGAAGACGGCGCCCATGCATCTCCAAAGGCCGCTTGCATTGTGGTGGGTGCAGCATGGGCGAGCACACATGGCTGGCGCTTGTTAGGCCTCGTGTTGATGTTTGTCGAACTGGTTGGAAGCTCCAAGAAACACAATGATATCCTGATCATGAAGCTATCTTTTCAATTGCATACAGCATGCCTTGTTCAAGAACGCGAACGCTGAAAGATAGAGATGATTCGATGACAATGTTTGAGCCAGCCGCCTAGTTTTGCCAACCGTTGCATCAAACTTTTGGCGGCAAACGCTCTTTCTCTCTAGCTTTGTGAAGCCAAGCTGATCCCCTGCTATCAATGTCACTCTATGATGTTGCCAGGTTCAAAGGATACGAGGTCAAGCAGATCTTTGCTTCATGTCTCCGTTGAGCCTCCTGAGCAATCTTTGTGCAGGTCTTAGTTTTTAATTTTATGTTCCAAGCCACAATAGACTATACTGGAGCCCAAGGTTTGGAATCAAATGGAAGCAATGAATAACTTGGGCTCTCATGTTGGAATAAGATGGACTTCATGCCTGTTGCGCTGAGATGATGTCAGTGTTCACAACAATTTGTTTTGAGAGCCCAAATCTCAATCTGCTTTTTGGCACGGGGTTTGCAACTCCTTTTGATGAAACGTCAGGCTTGGCGACCTTTACACGGCAACATCCTTGCCTCTCCTTGCTGTAACTTGCGTACTGGGTTGGCTGACTCGGCCTACTGCAGATGCGGAGCAGGTTCCGAAGGGTGTTATGGGCTGCATTTAAGTATTGAACTCAACTTTTGTTCAGAGATCTATATAATTGTCCCACCCCACACCCCAGGCAACCAGGTCGACGTAGCGGGACATGCAGTGTAGCCTATTTTTGACAGTGTTGCAGCAGAGCAATCCTTTTTGTGGCAGAGTTGTTTGTCACCTTTCTGTTACCGTAGTTCATTTGTTAGGACTCGTGAGTTGGATAGTAAACTGCGCCTGGCCATTACTTTGTCCTTGCCTTTTGTTGCGGAAGGCCAAATGCGATGCAGTAGATTTTAGTTCGGACAAGCCAAGCAGTACATGCGCAAACTGAGGCTTTCAGCAATTTCAGTTTCAATATTTGCTTGTTTGGTTTCTCGCCATCACAGCAGACTGGTTACAGGGGCCATATGTTTATGAGCTCTATGCATCATATGGATGGAGCAAAGCGGACATTGCCCGGCTTTTTGTGGCTGGATTTGCCTCTTCGATGCTCACTGGCACTTTCATCGGTTCTGTAGCAGATGCCTGGGGCCGGAAGTTTTGTGCAATTCTATATTGTATTCTTTATGGGCTAGCTTGCTTAACCAAGCATGTGAATGTCTATGGGGTGTTGATGCTTGGCCGGCTACTTGGCGGCGCAGCAACCTCCTTGCTGTTTAGCACATTTGAATGCTGGATGGTGGGAGAGCACAAGCGATGTGGTTTCCCAGATGGTTTGCTCCGCTACATGTTTGGACTTATGTTTTTTGCGACTCGGCAGAATTTCTCTCCAAGTTTATCTCTACCCAACTTCACTTGGCCGTGCTGTTGCTTCAGAACCTTTTGAAGAAATCAGGTGCAGTATCTCGCTGCCATCGGTGCTGGATGGTTAGCACAACTGGCCGCGTCTTCGATGCCTTTGACACAAGTTGCTGACTCAGATGCTCTTTGGTATGGAGGCTCTACTTTACCGTTTGACCTGTCGTTGGCCTTTCTCCTCACAGCCATGCCTGCCATCTATTTTATGTGGCAGGCCAGACGAAATGCCACGAGTTTCGCTTCATTCCTATTCTTTTGCTCAAGAATGTCATGTATATGGTGTTATTTGCAGAAGCACTTGAAGCAATCTCATAGAAGAACGGGATGTGGGGTGCTTGCTTGCGAGCCACAAAGTAGGACTTGATCGCGTAGGAATGGGTTCTATTCTCCTCTTGCGAAGTTTGCAGGTGGTCAGGGTTGTAAGGGTTTGATCTCGCTCTCTTGGTATTTCCCCAAACAGTTTACTGTTAGGGGTTCTCAATTCTTTCTTAAGATGTGTCCGCCCTTTGTGTCACTGCTGGTGTCCGCCCTTTTCCGCTGGCCATGTAGCATTTCTATTCA